ATGCGGGCACACCCACTGGGACTTCGGTGGAGCTCCCTATGGAGCCACGAAACGTGTGAGGGGTGTGCCGAAAATGCGTGTGCGTGACGCATGCGCACACACCAACTGAGACTGGGGCCTTCGGGGAGCTCCCTATGGGGCCACGAAACGTGAGGGGCCGAAATGGGTGTGCGGGACGCAGGCGGGCACACCCACTGGGACATTCGGTGGAGCTCCCTATGGGGCCACAAAAACGTTGAAGGATGGGCCGAAATGGGTGTGCGGGACGCATGCGGGCACACCCACTGGGACCTTCGGTGGAGCTCCCTATGGGGCCACGAAACGTGTGAGGGGTGGGCCGACATGGGTGTGCGGGACGCATGCGGGCACACCCACTGGGACCTTCGGTGGAGCTCCCTATGGGGCCACGAAACGTGAAAGATGTGCCGAAATGGGTGTGCGGGACGCATTCGGGCACACCCACTGAGACCTTCGGTTGGGCTCCGTATGGGGCCGCGGGACGTGTGAGGGATGTGCCGAAATGGGCGTGCGGGACGCATGCGGGCACACCCACTGGGACCTTCGGTGGAGCTCCCTATGGGGCCACGAAACGTGTGAAGGCTGTGCCAAAATGGGTGTGCGGGACGCATGCGGGCACACCCACTGGGACCTTCAGTGGAGCTCCCTATAAGGCCACGAAACGTGTGAGGGGTGGGCCGAAATGGGTGTGCGGGACGCATGCGGGCACACCCACTGGGACCTTCGGTGGAGCTCCCTATGGGGCCACGAAACGTGTGAGGGGTGGGCCGAAATGTGTGTGCGGGACGTGCGGGCACACCCGACTGGGACCTTCGGTGGAGCTCCCTACGGGGCCACGAAACGTGTGAGGGGTGGGCCGAAACGCATGCGGGCACACCAACTGGGACCTTCGGTGGACTGCGGGACTTACTGGGACCTTCGGTGGAGCTCCTATGGGGCCACGAAACGTGTGAAGGGTGTGCCAAAATGGGGGCCAGGAGGAGGAGGAGGAGGAGGAGGAGGAGGAAGAGAGGAGGAGGAGGAGAGGAGGAGGAGGAGGAGGAGAGGAGGAGACGCGGGGCCACCGTCTCTTCAAAACGAGGACCCAACACCACAGGATGGTTTGGAAAAAGGGAGGAGGAGGAGGAGGAGGAGGAGGAGGAGGAGGAGAAGGAGGGGGAAGGAGAGGGAGGAGGAGGAGGAGAAGGAGGAGGAAGGAGAGGGAGGAGGAGATGGAGAAGGAGGGGGAGGAGGAGGAGGAGGAGGAGGAGGAAGAGGAGGTGGAGGAGGAGGAGGAGGGGCGAGGAGGGGCGAGGAGGAGGAGAAGGAAAGAAGAGAATGCGGACGAGGCAGCGAGGGAGGGCGAGCGAGGAGGCGAGGGGAGAACAGGAGGGGGAGGAGGAGAAGAAGGAGGCGGACGAAGGAGCGAGGGAGAGAGAGCGAGGAGAAGGAGAGGGAAGAGGAGAGGAGGGCTTCTTGGTGTTAATACATATTCGCGCGGGGTTACAGAACGATTCGATTCAATTCTAGAATGGGAGTCAAGAAAACTGTACTCCAGGCTCGGGAGGCGGGATCTGTGTGGGAGGTGTGCCACAGTTTGTCAACCAACCCACTGAACAAATAACCAAGCGACCAACCAGTCAGCCAACCAACAAGGCAACCAACCAACGAACCAACCAACCGCTCAATCAATCTGCAAAAATGGTTAACCCGGCAAGTGGACGGCGATGACGACGAAAATGACGACGACGACGACGACGACGACGGAAACGACGACGACAACGACGACGACGACGACGACGACGACGACGACGGCGGAGACGGCGACGACGACGACGACGACGACGACGACGACGACGGGATGGAAGAAAATGGAATGGGATGGACTGAGATGGGACGGTCCATCCCACTGGTCCAATCCGTTCCATTCCGCTGCATTCCATCCCATCCAATCCATCACATCGCATCCCATCTCATCACATGCCATCCTACCCCACTCTTGTTAATTCCGTCGGCGTCGTGTTCGTCGTCGTCGTCGTCACCGTCGTCATCGTCGTCCTCGTCATCGTCGTCGTCGTCCGCGGCGCTGCCGCGTGGCAAGTCGATTGTGAAGTTCCCCCTCCCCCCAGCGCTCCCACGTGGCGAGTAGTCGAATTGATTTTTCCGGCCCGCGGCGTTGCCTCGTGAAACTGTAGTGGAATAGTATTGTTTGGCTCCCAGGCGTTGTCATGTGGCGAGTGGAATGGACATATAGTTGTCTCGGCCCCCGTGGCGTTGCCACTTTATTCGCCCCCCCTGAAGTTGCCACGTGGCGAGTGGAGTGGAATCGTATGTTTCGCTGTCCCCCACAGGCGTGCTCACACGACAGATAGAATGGAATAATCGTTGTTCTGCCGCGAGGCATTACCATGTGGCGTGTAGGATTCTCCGTCTCCGCTGCATCGCATTGAAACCGCATTACATTGCATAAGCATATGACCCCGAACAGTGAATAGTCTGAACCCTTCTCCCAGGGAGGAGGAGGAGGAGGAGGATCCATTTAAAACCAAGTCGCAGTACCGGTGTTGCAATACAACATCCCCCAGGTTCCCTCTTCATTGGCCTCTACAAAACTTCCATGCCATGGCAGGAAGTGCCCCAGTGGACGACGCCCGTTTTCTTTCTTTCGGAACGGTTTCGCCCTGGCGACCCCTACTATGCCCGGCAACACGTGCGCTCGGTGAGTCTGAAACAAGGTAGCTCACTGACAATTTGAAGAAGAAAACAAAATGCGCATCCACTGGGTGAGACCCGTCTCCAAGGCGATCGCCTCTGCTCAGAAAGCGGAGGCCGCGCCCCAGAAAAACAGCGCCGCACGCAATCTCGGTGAACGATGGGGCGTTGTCTGGACTAGCCCGTAAGACACTATACAAAATCCAAATCCATCCCGCTGCGCCCTTTCTCCGCCCGCCTGCCACCGTCGGTCTGCAGCTGGAAACTGGCGTACGGGCAGGCGCGTGACACGCGACAGGAACCTTCACGGCAAATGGATTGCTCCATATCGAGCGCCATGTTCGCCAAGTGGTCGGCTGCAGCGTTGTACTTCCGCTCCCACCATCTGACGATTGACGACGTATCGGCACAAGCCCTGAATCCCTTGGTGTACACCCCAGCTAGATGCCGCCCAACTCTGATGCATAGTGGCCGGAGTTCCTCTGGCTGGAGTTTTGCCTTGCCTTCAAAAGATCGGCAATCGATTTGCAATCGACGACTGCGCGGAATTTCAGAAGCCCATCTTGCCAGTGGTGGTCGTCCGGATGCAGGACGGGAGACGGCACATTCTGAAAAGTATGGACGCCACCTTGTCGACTCTGCCCAAGAGAGCATAAAACTGGCAATCCGGGTGAAGTTGGAAGCTGAGGTAAGTGCCATAATTTGCAAAGTGCGTCGATGAACGAACGCCGCCCCGAGCGCCATGACGTCCGATCTGGGAACGTGTCCCGCAATGCCCTCCAATCGTCACCGTAAACTGGAACCAGTGGTGACTCCCAAAATGTCGTGGTCCGGCCCCAGGTGGAATGCACCAGACCCAGCCCGCGACGCTCCCCAATGGACATCCCCTGCGCCAGCAACCACATGATGGCAGAATTAAATTCCCGCACCCGTCGTAACGGCGCGTCCCCGGGACTCACGACGATGTGTTTCTCGTCCCAAGCTGCATCATGAATTGAACGAAGAACTTGGTGATGAGCAAACGGCACGTCAAAGATACGAAACCAATTTCAGATTCTGAAAGCACTGCGGACGTTGAACTGCATTCTGCTCTCGCCCAGTTTCGGTCGAAGCTTCAACATGCGACGCAAACGTTGCAACTCCAATGTTCGGATGTTGGCCAAACTGTGCTGGGAGAAGTGCCACGAACAAGCACCGAAAACAGCGGACGACAACCATTTGAGAATCCCAAAATCGGTCCAAAACTCGAATCCTGGGGTGCAAACGCCGCGAAACAATACGACTGTTGCGTCCTGACAATCCTAGACCGTGCCAGAACACTACCCCTGGGACTTCAAAAACCGCGAAGCCACGCGACTGTTGCCCCCTAACGATCCTAAATCGTGCCAAAACAGAGCGCCTGGGACTTCAACCTGGGACCAACCTGTATTTTTAAAAGACGGTGTGAAAACCAGCCGCCATCCATCCATGAATCGGTTGCATAATTTTGAAGCGAATGCGCACGGCGCTAAAGCGAGAGCCACATTTTGAAAATGGGCCGCCCTCCGTTCCTTGAAACGGTTGCAAGCTTTGAAGAGCCATGTGCGCGGCGCCCAGGCGAATGCCCAAGTCTGAAGACCAGCCGCCCTCCATCCTTGAAACTGCTACAACAGTTTTAGCACGAATGTGCACGGCGCTTGGGCGAGAGCCACATTCCATTTTGAAAACCAGCCGCCCACCATCCAGATATCGCTTGATTTACCCAAAAGATGAACAAACAAAAACAAATGTGCACGGCGCTACAGCGAAAGCCACATTGTAAACATGGGCTGCCCTCCGTCCTTGAAAAGCGAATTTTGCACGGCACTCAGGCGAGTTCTGCATTTGAAAACCAGCCGCCCTCCATCCTTGAATCAAGACAAATGTGTACGGCGCTCAAGCGAGAGCGACATATTGAAAACGGCCCGCCCTCCTTCCTCGAAACTGTTGCAAATTTTAACCTTCAGGATCATTCATGGTGAGAAATAATTTGGGCGAAACGCCCGGCCCGCCCGACCGACACGTCTGGGGGGGGACTGGGAGGAGTCATGCAGAAGGAAAGGGATGGAGGACGAGGAGGTCAAGAGAGATGAACGAAGAGGAAGAGATGGAGGGGAGGAGTAGAAGGAGGAGAAGGAGGAGGAGGAGGAGCAGGAGAAGGAGGAAGAAGAGGCGGAGACGGACGACGACGACGACGACGAGGGAGGCAGGGAGGGAGGGAGGGAGGGCGAGGAGGAGGAGGAGGAGGAGGAGGGGCGAGGAGAAGGTGGAGCCTCCGTCATCGCGGCATCACTCTCCACCCAAGACTGGATACCCTTGCTCAGGGCCAGGCCCGACGCGAGGAGCGGGATGAAGGTGCAGCTGTCCGTGTTGCTCCTGAAAAGAGGCACCGCCGAGAAGGCACCCAGGCCGACGCCAGCGAGCACGCGGCCGATGCGCGCGATCGCGTTGAGGCCGGCGAGGTCAATGGCCTCGGCACGGTGAGGAGATGCATGACGGTCATAAAAGCACTAAGAAAACGAGTGCGACGATGCTGGGTGGTGATGGTTATGGTGGTGACGATGACGACAACGATGATGATGATGATGATAATGATAATGATAATGATGATGATGATGATGATGATGATGATGATGATGACGATGATGATGATGATGATGATGATGATGATGATGATGATGATGATGATGATGATGATGATGATGATGGTGATGGTGATGGTGATGGTGATGGTGACGGTGATGATGACGATGATGATGATAATGTACGATGGTGGTGATGATGTGATGGTGATAACGATGATGATGAGGATGAGGATGATGATGATTATGATGATGACGCTGATGATGATAATGGTTGTGGTGATGATGATGATTATGATGATGCTGCTGATGATGATGATGGTGGGTGGTTGTGATGGCGATGTTAGGATGATGTGACGATGATGGTGATAATGGTTGTGATGATGATAATGATGAGTGTGGTGATGTTGATGATGATGGTCATGGTGATGGTGATGGTGATGATGTTGGTGATAGTGCTGGAACTGGTGCTGGTGCTGGTGGTCTATGGTGATGGTGATGACGATGGCAATAGAGATGGTGGTTGTGATGGTTATGGTGGTGATGATGATGGTGATGGTGGTGATGATGGTGGTCGTGATGTTGATGATGATAATAATGATGCTGATGATGATGATGATGATGATGATGATGATGGTGTGACGGATATTTTGTACGATTATGACTACCCAGCAAGCTTGTCTAATCTGGGTTAATCTGATAGACGCAAGAGAGGAGGGAAAGGAAGGGACAGCGGGAACACAAGAAGACGGGCAGAGAAGTAAGAAGGATAAGAAAAACCAGTTGAGGATCGGGAGAGGGTAACGAGTAGAAGGAGGAGGAACAGAAGAACGTGAAGGATGGGGAGAGGGAGGAAGAGGAAAAAAAGGCCGATGGTAATAATAAGAATATGGAGAGGAAGGGGGAGGAAACGAGTGTGGAAAAACAAAATGAAATGGCGCAGCGGGCGACGACGAAGTATAAGAAGCCAAACGCATGGGCCTGGAAGCTCCAAGGACTCCTGCCCATCCTCCTCCTCCTCCTCCTCCTCCTCCTCCCCGTCCTCCTCCTCCTCCTCCTCCTCCTCCATCTAGCCCTGCACACTCTCGTCCCTATCAACCATCCCCCTCCCCCCCCCACCACCACAAAGAAAAAAACGTGTTCCCCTTCCTCATACTCCTCCTCCTCCTCCTCCTCCTCCTCCTCCTCCTCCTCCTCCTCCTCCTCCTCCTCCTCATCCTCATCCTCCTCCTCCTCCTCCTCCTCCTCCTCTTCTTTATCCTCCTCTCCTCCGCTTCCTTCTTCTCAGCTCCGCCTCGTCCTCCTCCTCTGCATGATCTCCCTCCTCATCCTCCTCATCACCCTCATGCTCCTCATCCTCCTACGCCTCCCCATCTTCATCAACATCCTCCTCCTCCTCCTCCTCCTCCCACCTCCTCCTCCTCATCCTCCTCTTCATGAGAGTCCTCCTCATCCTCCTCATCATCCTCATCCCCCTCCGCCACCTCATCGTCACCAACCTACTCTTCTTCCTCCTCCTCATCCTCCTCATCCTGCTCCCCCGATGATATCACACAGGACATGCATGGAACCAAAAAGTCTATACTGAAGGTTGTTCACCAGGCAGTCCTTTCCTTCTTTCGGGGCGTCCAGCCCATAGGTTGCAAGGTCACCGCGAAGGGTGCGATGACCGTGTCCGATGCCAAACTTGCGCGCGATTGGGAGGCCGAGCTTTAGAGATTGGGAGCCCCGATGAAGGCTCCTGCAGCGCTCGTGGATTTGGGTGTGATATGCATGCTGGGGGGAGGAGGTGTGCTCCGAAGGTCGGGATGAGGAGGACGGCGCTTCGGAGGGCTCGGACGCTGCAGTGTCTCGCCAGGCGTTGCGCGCGCTTCAGTAAGCTCTTCAGGCCAGGGGTCCTCAGCTCGGGCACCTGGAGCCACAGTGCCATAGGCCTTCCCCCCACTGAAGTTCGCGCGTGCAGGGCTTCAGCGGCCAATGTGTTCAGGATATTGGACGTCAGGGTGTTGTACGTCCACTGCGCCCGCGATTCGACATCAGTTTGAAGATGGCCCTGCGTGTCGGTTGCGTCGTGGGCAGTTGCACGCGTTGTCGAGCGTGTAGCGCCGTATGTCTGCTGGCATGCGCCAAGGAATCGTGAAAGCTTGGAGCAGCATCCGTGGCCAGCGTCGTGCTGTGCCTGCTAATCGTAAATGGAGGACGGCGAGAGGCCCCGGCGCCGCTGTTACTGCTACCCTTCTTGATCTAGGGTGGGCGCCCGACGCGCCCACCAGATGGGCTACCCCTAGTCGGATCCTGGGCGTCGAGGCCCCCAATGTTTTTTGTTCAGGTTGGACGTATGTGTTCGGGAGACGGTTCCAGGACAGGTGTGGGGTGATGCTGCTAAACATTACTGTGGAGTGGGGCTTGGGAAAGGGGTCGACTTCGCGGTGTTCCGTCGCATCCATGCCCAGCTTGTTGAAGAAGAGGCTCACTAAGATGCAGCTCTGCTTTGCGCAGTCGTCTCTGCGGAGGGGGTGGCCTGAAGATCGTCTACGCTCAGCTGGATACGTGTCCACTGGGGTTTGCGAGCGCTGCGGAGAAGCGCCAGAGACGACGATGCACCGAGTTTGGCACTGCACATGTATCTCCGATATCGGCACGAAACCCATGCACGATTCCCAGAGTTTGTGTCCAGGAGCCTTGCATGCCGAAGCGGCTTGCCCTGATAGTGTTTTCTGAACTCGTCGTCTAACTACCTTAGCTGCCGCCGTGGGTCGTATTCCGCCACCCGCCTCGCTCACCTTCGCTTGGGGCATTCTGGATCAAGGGCAGGTCATGGACGGAGGCACCTGAGGGCCGGACGGACCTGGAGGGAGGTTCGCGAAGGATTGGCGTCTCAGGAGGTGTGGGTGGTCAGCAGTCCGACTTGATAAAGACAGTGTTCCTGGTGATTCCAGGTTTGATGGAGTCTTGTGTGGCACTCTACCCACCCAGCAGCAAAAGAGTCCGAGGGCGGAGCTCTTCGCCTTCCACATGCTTCTCGGCCACACGGTCGGAGATGTGGTGGCATACTCGGACTACCTTCCCCTCGTGCGGGCCCTCAGACGCCCTAGAGCTTCGATCTAGAGCTTCGATCGCTGCAAGTTCGCCGAAGATGGAGCTGCGGAGCTTGATCTGGAATCGTCTCGATACTAAGTCGGAGAAAGTTTAGCTGACCTGGACGAATGCCCACGCCACGTCGTCCGTGTGTGCGGCGTGGGGCCTCAGCAAGGCCGACCACTGGCTGGATTAGTACGCTGACTGCTTTGCTGGTGTGGCCGCTGCAAGAGGGGAGGCTACCCCTCAGTACGTTCAGCTCATCCCGCAGCTAGATGGTCTGTCTTCGTGTGTGCTGCGCCGCCTTCTTGAAGTTAGTCGGGAGGTGGCGCTCACGTGCTCGCGTCGCGATGCTGACCGCGTCGGCAGGCAACCTCCTCTCCCCAGGCCATCCCTGCTGAAGTGATCCGTCGGCAGAGGCTGCTTGCCGCGGGCCACGCTCCTGTGCTCGTGGAAGGTTTATCTCGGTGACAGCTCTGCAAGAGGAGATTCTAGGCATGTCGTGGCAAGCTGGTTGAATTCGACCCTGGGAAGTGCTGTGGGACACCTCCACTGCGGGCAGACCCCGAAGCCACCCGCTCGCATCGTGACTTCCCCAGGATTCACTCCTCTCACACCATTGACTGTGTGAAGGGCGTGCTGTCTTGCAGAGCTTGCGGGCGGTACTGTATAGACTCCGCCCAGCTCCTGGTGGAGGTGTGCCCCTCCATCCTCGTCCCCCCTCGGCCCCCGACTAGGGCGGAGCTGAGCATGCTGTCGCGCCTCTCTCGCGGGCTGCCGCCGAAGAGTTGGCCTGACCGTGCTTTTGGGTCCCTGTCCATCAGGGAATGCCCGCCAGGGCAAGGTCAAGGTCCCTCCCCTCCTACTCCTCAGGATCGGGGCAGAGTTTTTGTGCAGCAGCCTCGTGCCAGGCCAACTGGCCGTGGCCGGGCTAGAAGTGAGGTAAGGGTGTGTAATTACCTTCTGTGGGAGAGTGTGCCTCTGGAGGGGGGTAGTCCCAGTGCCGTGGAGCACCCCAGGTGGTACACCCCGCTCGTGGGGCGGCTCTTGGCTTATGCGCATCCCGCCAACAGGGCGACTTGACTGACAGTACGCCGTTGAAGATCAACCAGATCCTGTCTTTGAGTGTCTTGGTGCCCGACGCGAGACTGCGCTCGCAGAGGGCCTCGGAGTGCAGTGGACACAAGGTCCAAGGGTTTCCAGGGTTTCGCTCGCTCCTCCTCCTCCTCCTCCTCCTCCTCCTCCTCCTCCTCCTCCTCCTCCTCCTCCTCCTCTTCCTCTTCCTTCTTCCTCCCCTCCCTCTCCTTTCCCTTGCTTCCCCCGTGGCCCACCTGAGGGGCAGGGGCCAAACAACCAAACAGACGAACAGCCCTTCCAGAGGAACAGAGGCAAATAAACTACGCATGTGCCTGCAAGGTTTGACTTGCACTGGGGCACGTGGAACACCTGCTCGGCTGCTCGCTTGGCCCCTGCGGCCTCGATCATAGCAGCACAAAGGCAAAGCGACCGATGCTGCTAGCGATGGCACCCACGACAAGCGCAACATAGGTGAACCTGGCTTCGCGCGCCCCGCAGCGCTAGGCGCGATCATCTTCGCTCCCGCGCCGCCCCAGAGGCAAGGACCGCCCTCTGGCCCAGACCCGCCAGACCGCGAGGCGCTTGACTGCATCCTTACCCTGCGGGCGACCACGGCCAAGCAACGGCGGCGATGGCGACGAGGACGTCAACGACGACGAGGACGACGACGACGACGACGACGACGCTGACGACGACAACAGTGGCAGCGACGACGACGACGACGACGACGACGACGGCGACGACGACGACGACGATCACCACCACGACGATGCCGACGACGACGATGACGACGACGGTGGCGGCGCCGACGACGACAGCGACGACGACGACGACGACGACGACGACGACGACGACGGCGACGGCAACGGCGACGACGGCAGAGCCGAAGGAAGAGGCCGACCCGTCCTGCAGCAGCAGGCAGGCGAGGCCCGTGCAGATGCTCGTGAGCTCGGCGCAGCCGTACACGGCGTCGTAGAAGCACAGCATCCACGGCAGCGCCGCGGAGAAGACGGACACCAGCTCCCAGAACCTGGCGAGGCGGCGCGCGGGGCACGCCGGCCGCGCCTCCCTGCGGCCGCGCCGGAGCGCGGGGCGGCCCAGGATGCTGGCAGGAGCAGAGGGCATCGAGCCCGGACCCCTGGACGCCGCGCTGTCTTCAGGGCGCGAGCCTTCCAAAAAGTCTGGGCCACTTCCCGGGGACCGGCTCGTCCTCCTGCACTGCTTTCTGGCGCTCTCGAGGCCCAGCGAGGGCCCCCAGAGGCCGAAAATGGCGGAAAGCCTCCCGCCCTGATTTTTCCTCAGCGCGAGGGGGTCTGGAGTCAGAGGGCATCGAAGCGGGAAGTCGGATCGGATCGGCGTCGTACCAGGCCACATCGGCACGGAGCCGAGATCGAACTGGATCGGCTGCGCCAGCACCTGAGCGAGCCCACGATGCAGCAACGGTGCTGCAATACGCCCACGCGTCCCAAGCCCCCCCCCCCTTTACATGAGCCCCATGCAAGAATTCCCTTTTAATGCTGGAGGTGCCCCCATTGAGAGACGAGCGCGCCATGGTCCTGCAGATCAGGCGAGAGCCCCATTTTGAGAAGGAGCTGTCGCCCATGGGCCGAGCCACAGGGAGGGCGACGACGAGGTAAGATCAGAAAGTCAAAGAAATCTCCAGCAGAATCCCCGCCTTGAAAAAGAGCGGCCCTCAATCCGACGATGTTCTCAGGTCGTAAACCTGAAAACGTTTCGGGCGAAAGTTCCGATGTGACAAAGAACCGCCATCCATCCGTGGAGCTGTTGGCAACCTTTGATACGAATGTGCACTGCGCTAAGTCAAGAGCTACCTCTTGAAAACGACCCTCCTCCAACCGTGTAACTGCTGGAAGCGATTAAGGCGAATGTGCGCGGTGCGACGGCGAGGCAAACGTTTCGAACAAACACCGGTCACCGTTCGTGTAACTACTGGAAGTTTATCCCAACCCTCCTTGGTTGGGTATTCGTTTTGAATAGAGCACTGCGGTCTCCAGTCCTTCTCCTCCTCCTCCTCCTCCTCCTCCTCCTCCTCCTCCTCCTCCTCCCGCATCCCGTCTCCAGCTTCCGTCTTGTTTCCTCTTGCCTTGCACGTACCTCGTGTGTGTGTGTGTGTGCATCCTGGCTGCGGTACCTCTTGTGTGTGCATCTTGCCAAAGGGCTGAGATCTGCGACACTGTCGCCACTTTCGAGGGATGCTGTTGGTTCCAGCGGAGTGAGGCACCGCGGGGACCTGAGCGAGACCTCGCCGTCCCTGGGGGGCTGCGATCTGCGACTCTGTCGCCACGTTCGACGGCTGCTGGTGGGTCCAGCGAAGTGAGGCACAGCGGGGACATGAGCGAGACCTCGCCGTCCCTGGGGGGCCGCGATCTGCGACACTGTCGCCACTTTCGAGGGCTGCTGGTGGGTCCAGCGGAGTGAGGCACCACGGGGACCTGAGCGAGACCTCGCCGTCCCTGGTGGGCTGCGATCTGCGATACTGTCGCCACTTTCGACGGCTGCTGGTGGGTCCAGCGAAGTGAGGCATCGCGAGGACCTGAGCGAGACCTCGCCGTCCCTGGGGGGCTGCGATCTGCGATACTGTCGCCATTTTCAACGGCTGCTGCTGGTTCCAGCGGAGTGAGGCACCGCGGGGACATGAGCGAGACCTCGCCGTCCATGGGGGGGGTGCAATCTGCGACACTGTCGCCAGTTTCGAGGGTTGCTGGTGAGTCTAGCGGAGTGAGGCACCGCGGGGACATGAGCAAGACCTCGCCGTCCCTGAGGGGGGAGGCTGCGATCTGCGACACCAATGTCGCCACTTTCGAGGGCTGCTGTTGGGTCCAGCGGAATGAGGCACCGCGGGGACCTGAGCGAGACATCGCCATCCCTGGGGGGCTGCGATCTGCGACACTGTCGCCATATTCGACGGCTGCTGGTGGGTCCAGCGGAGTGAGGCACAGCGGGGACATGAGCGAGACCTCGCCGTCCCTGGCGGGGCTGCGATCTGCGACACCGTCGCCACTTTCGAGGGCTGCTGGTGGGTCCTGCGGAGTGAGGCACCGCGGGGACCTGAGCGAGACCTCGCCGTCCCTGGGGGGCTGCGATCTGCGACTCTGTCGCCACGTTCGACGGCTGCTGGTGGGTCCAGCGAAGTGAGGCACAGCGGGGACATGAGCGAGACCTCGCCGTCCCTGGGGGGCCGCGATCTGCGACACTGTCGCCACTTTCGAGGGCTGCTGGTGGGTCCAGCGGAGTGAGGCACCACGGGGACCTGAGCGAGACCTCGCCGTCCCTGGTGGGCTGCGATCTGCGATACTGTCGCCACTTTCGACGGCTGCTGGTGGGTCCAGCGAAGTGAGGCATCGCGAGGACCTGAGCGAGACCTCGCCGTCCCTGGGGGGCTGCGATCTGCGATACTGTCGCCATTTTCAACGGCTGCTGCTGGTTCCAGCGGAGTGAGGCACCGCGGGGACATGAGCGAGACCTCGCCGTCCATGGGGGGGGTGCAATCTGCGACACTGTCGCCAGTTTCGAGGGTTGCTGGTGAGTCTAGCGGAGTGAGGCACCGCGGGGACATGAGCAAGACCTCGCCGTCCCTGAGGGGGGAGGCTGCGATCTGCGACACCAATGTCGCCACTTTCGAGGGCTGCTGTTGGGTCCAGCGGAATGAGGCACCGCGGGGACCTGAGCGAGACATCGCCATCCCTGGGGGGGCTGCGATCTGCGACACTGTCGCCATATTCGAGGGCTGCTGGTGGGTCCAGCGGAGTGAGGCACAGCGGGGACATGAGCGAGACCTCGCCGCCCCTGGGAGGCCGCGATCTGCGACACCACTGTCGCCATTTTCGAGGGCTGCTGGTGGGTCCTGTGGAGTGAAGCACCGCGGGAACCTGAGCGAGACCTCGCCGTCCCTGGGGGGCTGCGATCTGCGACATTGTCGCCAGTTTCGAGGGCTGCTGGTTGGTCCAGCGGAGTGAGGCACCGCGGGAACCTGAGCGAGACCTCGCCGTCCATGGGGGGGTGCAATCTGCGACACTGTCGCCACTTTCGACGGCTGCTGGTGGGTCCTGCGAGTGAGGCACCGCGGGGACCTGAGCGAGACCTCGCCGTCCATGGGGGGCTGCGATCTGCGACACCACTGTCGCCACTTTCGAGGGCTGTTGGTGGGTCCTGCGGAGCGAGGCACCGCGGGGACCTGAGCGAGACCTCGCCGTCCCTGGCGGGGCTGCGATCTGCGACACCGTCGCCACTTTCGAGGGCTGCTGGTGGGTCCTGCGGAGTGAGGCACCGCGGGGACCTGAGCGAGACCTCGCTGTTTCTGGGGGGCTGCGATCTGCGACACTGTCGCCACTTACGGGGGCTGCTGGTGGATCCAGCGGAATGAAGCACCGCGGGGACCTGACCGAGACCTCGCCGTCCCTGGGGGGCTGCGATCTGCGACACTGTCGCCACGTTCGACGGCTGCTGGTGGGTCCAGAGGAGTGAGGCACCGCGGGGACATGAGCGAGACCTCGCCGTCCATGAGGGGGGAGGCCGCGATCTGCGACACCACTGTCGCCGTTTTCGAGGGCTGCTGGTGGGTCCAGCGGTGTGAGGCACCGCGGGGACATGAGCGAGACTTCGCCGTCCCTGGGGGGGCTGCGATCTGCGACACTGTCGCCATTTTCGAGGGCTGCTGGTGGGTCCTGTGGAGTGAAGCACCGCGGGAACCTGAGCGAGACCTCGCCGCCCCTGGGGGGGCTGCGATCTGCGATACTGTCGCCATTTTCGAGTGTTGCTGGTGGGTCCAGCGGAGTGAGGCACCGCGGGGACCTGAGCGAGACCTCGCCGTCCCTGGGGGGCTCTGGAGAGCTGCTGTGGGATACGTTTGGCGCAACGGGCGCATGGCACATCCAACGGGGGTGATTTGTGAAACAGACCATCTGCCGGGAGATGGCCATAACGTTGCGTCTGCACGTATCCCGCGGGGGCTCTCAAGAGCTGCTGCGGGATACGTTGGGTGCAACGGGCTCATGGCACAGCCAACGGGGGTGATTTGTTATTACGTAGCCCTTATATCTTGATCGGGGTCCTGCGAGCCTTCCGACTGCTGCTCGCAAAATCACATGCGTCCGTGTTACGTCATCGCCCCTGTTGCAGCAATCCCGATGTACTAATGCCCCGCATTGCGCAAGGGTTGGGTACGTCGCCAGGTTAATTTTAACCAAAAAACGGAGGTACTCGGCGCTGAGGCGAGCGCCACATTCTGAAAGCCACCCTTCCCTCCATCCGCGTAACTGCTGGAAGATTTTGAGACGAATGCGCGTGACGCTCAGGCGAGAACCACATTTTGAAAACAAATCCTCCTCCATGATTGTCGCTGTTGGAAAGTCCACGGGCTTCGGGGTTACAGACGGAAAGGGGCGAAAGGTCTGACCCGTCCTACGGACACGTCTAGTGATCAGAGAAGGCAAGGAGGAATTGTGCACAAGAGAACATGGATGGAGGAGCACGAAGAAGGGGAAGAGATGGAGGAAGGAAGA